TGCCTGTGGCCTTTATAAAATGACAGAATCCTAGTGTGTCTGTGTACGTGATACCAAGTTAGTTTGTGTAAATGTGGGAAAGATTTTTTGCCTGAAGCTTCTGACGATACACAGAAAACACATTAAATACTGCAGGATGTGTTGAAATGTTACCTCACATGCACCTACTGTATATACTGTATCCTCAAATGATGGAAAATAACCCATAACGTGTCTAAATATAGTATTCAATATGTTATCAGTGCTGTTGTCTTTTGTACCACACTACAGAGTAGAAGTAAGTTGAGACTTATTGTTAATGTTTTGTCTTTTTCATGCTTTCAATAGGCTTTTTCTACTTGGGTTGTATGCCTTTCTCTTCTGCTTTGAATCACACTGATAACCACACAGGTTTTTGTGCAGAATATAGGTCAGTGTGCGTGTGTCATAACCTGCGGTATTGGAAACTTTCCTTATTATATCTGTTCAGTGTTCCTCTATTTGATGTTTCTTTGCAACAAAACAAATCTAATAATTCTATCCTGTCTCATGAAGTAAAATTTTTTAAATTTGAAAAATACACATAAAATACCCCCCAAAAATAGAAATACTTGTCCACATTGTACAATCTAATATAATACAGACGCCCTGCAGTAAACACGGGCTCTGTAAATCTTACAATGCCCTTTTTGTTGAAACTGTGTCAGAGGTATTAGAAGTATTAGTTCAATGTTGTGGTAATTTATGAAGCTTGTTGTGAATTCAGTTGTGTTCAGCCTCTATATGTTTAACATAAACAGAATATAATCAAACAGAATATAAATTTGGGCTTTAACTGAGCAGTTTGGTTCAACAACTGTGTGACTCCTGCTATGTGATGAGTGAGTGTTTTTCTGTTATTTTCAACCTTTTAGTGTGAGTGAAGTGTGCTTTTTGGGTTGGGTCTGTTTGCTTGCTCCCGTTCCCCCCTCTGTCTGTCTGTCTCTCTCTCTCTCTCTCTGCTCACCTGCTGATCAGCTACAATCAAGACCTTACCACTATAAGAAGTCTGTGCTGACATCCAGTCCCTGCTGGATCGTAATGTTATGTTATGTCCCTCAGTTCAGCTCTCTTTACAACCAGCTCTCCACACCGGATTTCCCACTGCAAGCTTTCATCCCTGGATTCAAACCCATATTCTGCTTTTGGGTTCAGCCTTTGAATCGTGACTCTTAAGTATAATTCCATCATGTGTGCCAGACACAAATTTGCTATTTAAGAAATCATTAAATAGATATGCAAATCATCAGATCACATTTCTTGACAGGATTCTTCCATTTCATCACAGCTAACTCCTTCTATTTACTCAGTTTACCCTATTCTCCCCTACATGTACTCCCCATATATAATCATAAATTAATGTTTGCATATCTTCATTACAGCAGCCATCATCATCGTTTCTAAATATAAAACACACCACCTGCCATTTTCTGCTTGAAGCGACGTTTAATAAATGCAGTGAACGAGCAATATGTGGCTGTAAAGTGATCTCTTTCCTTTTAGCATTTGTACGGATTAACTATAGTTTGCGTATCAAATCTATGGGATTAACAGTATCTTGATGTGGATCTCGCAGAGAACCAATGAGCGCCCTCTCCACGCCTCTCTGGGACAAATATTTGACGTGGCAAGAGGTCCGGACGTGACATCGCTGCACATCATCTCTCCTCCTCCCTTCAACCTCAGTTACCTTTACTTACCTAAAGCACATCTGCAGACACTGGTGCCGGAGCAGAGCAGAGTCCTGGTCCGACTATCTGAACCAGGAGGAGAAATAATGTGGCTGATCGTGTTGGCCAGTTTACTTCAATGCGCCTCGGCCTACGATGTGGATCTGAAGAAACTGGACGGGCTCGCAAAAGCGAGGGTGGAGGTACAGTAACACCGTGGCTTTCATGATATTACGCTTTATATGTTAAAGTAGGGTGCATTATATTCACTGTGGCGGTCGGCCGAGGCTTTGAGTACATGCTCTGAGTCTGATTTTTGCTAAATGTGTGAATGGATGCGTTTAATTCCTTAAATTTCCGTGCTTAGCGCATGCGCGAGTGCTTCTCCTCGGGGAGTCTCCATGCGTTTTGACTATACCCAATTAAACCCACAGACTGTGTAGACAATATATGCATTTGTGATAACCATGAGATCTTACACATAATGGCTTTTTTAGCTGAAAAGGGGACCGAGGGTGTGTAACAGGATGTCAGATTGCTGCTCAAAAGTTTCTGTAACTCTACCCTTCTTTTTGTGAGAAACCATGCACTTTTCCCCCCAGGGTGTCACCAAATCACCACCCTGCCAGCACCACCGAAGAAAAGCTTGTTATCTGTTGCTATTGTTGTGTTAGTCACACCTGCTACTCAGTACCTGGGGCTCAAATTTCTAGGCTAGGCATCCATCCCAGGAGCCCACCTAAATCTGTGCTCTGTACAAAGGATTCAACGCTGCAGTGACACATTACAGACAAGAAGGAACCTAACCCAAAAAACTGCAGCACAATGAAAGCATGCATACACATTTTAGATGCAGAAATATATCAGAAATGTATCTTATTCCGATTCCAGGTGATGTCCCACTTCAAAAGTAAGAGTGCTTCATGTAACGATTTCTTGTATCTTGTGTTTCCAGACCTGTGGTGGATGACAGCTGAACAGGCTCAGAGAGGTGAGTTTCCCTCTGTTGTGTAACCAATAGGATCAAAATAAGACAACATTTGCCAGTGTTTCCTCTCTGAGAAACATTTTTCACATCTAGGGTTTCACATAATCCCCCACAGATCTGTCAATGAAACCAGCGTGAAACCAGAGTGAAAAACATTAATCACCACCTCTGTCTGCAGGTCAAAGCCTTTGTGGTCCAGGACATTCCTCTTTAGTATCCTTTGACTCAAGTACGCTGCTGTGACTTGTTCTTAAGTCTGTTTTTTTTATGTTGCACACTGTAAATATTCCAGCATTTTCTCTCCAATGGGCCTATCCTTGACCATCTCTACCTAAGCCATAACCTGGTGATGAAGCATATTCCTGGGGCCGACCCTGAGCTTGTCCTCCTGAACCACTATTACGAAGAGCTGGATGTAAGTCTTTATTTTGCTGTGGTTTTATATTGCAATGTAGCTACTTTTTTTTGACAATATATTAAAGCTCATATATAGAAAGTGATTATAGCATCTTTAATATGATTTAATATGGCAATCAGAATGTAAATCGTGGCTATGGGTTGTTTTCAGAGTGGTTGGATCTGTGGAAGTGAGGGGTACAAGATCTTATTTAACCAGTTACTGAAGTCAATTTTAAAATCCTGCACACACAGGCAGCTTTTTCGAATACAATGTGTTGCATTAATTTTTGTTTTTTTTTGGCCACCTGGGGGCAGAACTCCCACCAACAAGCTGAAAACCCACATCTGACATCTTAAGAAGCTGTTAGGGTTATTCTTTCCTAGCAAACAGTTGCCAATTAACACATCCAGCTGACACATTAGTATTCATGTGAGATTGTGTTTTGGGCCATCTAAAGTCCAATATTCACTTCCTTTCTAGGTTACACACCTGAAAATATAAATATAACTGGCCTTATAGCTAGATGCTTCAAAGATTTGGTCTGCAGTTTGGACGGGTAACATACAGCAGGTTATTTGACCCTTTGTAAATATAAAATATTGAGTAGTGCTTTTACTTTCATAATTAATGGCCAATCTAATTTAAACCTATTGGAGCACCCTGATATGGTTACAGTGCATGGCACGACTGTAACATCCAGTTTGACTAGGGACCTTTTGTTGCATGTAATACCCTTCTCTTTCCCCTTGTTTCCTGTCTCAGCGTCACTATCAACTCCAGTCCAATAAAGGGAAAAAAAGTCTTTCATAATGTACTAAAATGGCTCACAATCCCATGCTGCTGCACTGACAATCTATCATGAATAACGTAATGCAATGCAGTTTTCATGCTGTAAAATTATATTATATATTATTATTAATTATATTATAGAATTATCATTTAACCTGCGTGTCTTCCACAGCGGATTGCCTTGTCTGACATGACCCGCTCTGAGATCAACGAGCTGCTGGGGAAGCTGGGCTTCTACAAGAAGGCTCAACCGGAGGACTTGGTGCCGGAGGAGTTCCGCTTCTCTCCTGCCAAAGACAGCCCGTTTAAAGATGAGCCGGCATACAAACCCGCCACTTCCTCTCTTTCCACAGACAACGCCTCCTCAGAGCCCAAAGAAGGAGTCAAGCATACCGACCTATAACCTGTCAAGAGTGGAGAAAAGTAGGAATCTCACAGTACCACTCTGCCCCATAGCTGCTCCACGACCAGCTGGTTATTGCAATTGATGGTAGAAATGCTCGTCATTTCAGAATAAAGCCAGCAGATCATGGATCAGCCCTCGGGTAAGGACAAAATCTTAGCTTCAGCATAAGGCCCTCCCAAGGTCCAGTCTGAATTTGCACATGTTGTTCTTGCTGTGTGTTCTTTATTTTTGCATCAATAATAACTCAACAGTCCGCTTTCTACTCCCGAACACAAAGGACTGGAAGTGTGTATGTTTTATTTTGTTCTTGGTCCATCGTGTGTCAGCTCTTTCTTCAGGATCCTCGCCTCACTTGAGTTCTCTTGTGTGTCTGATTGCTTCCTACTGTGAAACTGAATGAAGCCTCAGGCTGAAAACTGTCTGACAGGCCTGAGGTTGATGCTACATGTTCTGGTGGGTCGGACTGACGCACACAAGAGGATAGAAGTGGAAGCGTTGTAAAAAAAATAAAATGTGAAAACAAATCTTATGCCTAGTCCTGTCTGTATTGAATATTCATGTTCTCATGTCTGTTTCCATTTGCACTCCAAATTGTAGATTTTGGAGATTGCAGACTCTAAATTGCCTGTAGGTAGAGTATGAATATAACAATGTTAGATAATAATCTGGTACAGGGAATAAAAATGTGTTTTATGAGACGATTCAGAACAATTATCCCCCACAAACAAATTCATTTCTCAAATTGGTTTAATTTCCATTCACATTTAACTGTAGTGCACAGAAACATGAAATTATAATGTGTTTAAGCTCTTATGTACAGCACTCACTGCCTTGTGGAAGGTATTCATTTTTCAGTTGGCAGCAGTGGAATAATTCTCAAGTCATTTTTCTAAATCTACAAAAACAGAGCTTTAAGAAATACATTTCATCAAAATCAGCTCTGATTGGATTTTAGACATCTCAAAAGGAACCATAATTTTACAAGCTGGATTAAAATTTTCCCTAGCTTAATGTCATAAAATAAACAATAGGCAGTAATGTTCAGTCATTATTGCTTATAAACTTTAAACAGAAAGCCGGCTTTCATCATGCCTGTTAATTTGTCCAAAGAGTGACTGCGATTCGTTTCACAAAACATTGTGGTAGCTTGAGTTTATCGACTCACTTTGAACAAAACCTTTGAAAGCATATTGTACACACTAACAAAATACAAAATAATATATTTAAAAAAAAATCTACTCAAGCATAAATAAGTAGCCCGCTAAAAGAGCTGTGTGTGAGTGTGTTTGGCAGGACAAGGCAGTGATGCTGGGCGATGATGGCAGCACCGCTGTGAGTTTTTTTTTTGTACATATGCTGTCAGACAAACAGAGCAAAACTTGCTGGACTACAGACATTTTTGTTGTTAGAATAATATTATTGTTGATGCAATGTTCATAAAACCTGAAACATGTTCTCAGTAGCACTGTATAGTTCAGAAAGGTGAGATTACTCAGTGTTGGACTCAAGCAATAATGCTGCATCCATGTGAGCAATGAAAAGAGAACACTCCTGTGCTCATGTTTTAAATAGTAATATGCTAATTGCTTACATGAACATGAGAATAATAACTTAGTTAAAATACTTTAAGCCAACCACGTTTGGTAAAAATTAAAAAGTACCGAAATGAAACCAAATAACGCATCATATGGTAGGGTATGTTTTTGTTCTTCAGTTATAATTACCAGCAACAGCAATGCTAGCAAATAATAATTACAAATGTGTAGCAGAAAAAATGTAGGTATAAATAAATTAATAGGGGAAATACTATAAAAATATTTCTCTTCTCTCTTGATGTGTTTTTCAGTACGGTGGCGTAGTGAAACAGCCACTGTGGTTAAATATCACCTAGTACAAAGCTGATTTTGAGTACAAAACTTTAAAGCTTAAAAGGTAGTCTTTTAAAAAACTTTGGTGCCCTCTCGCTGGAGAAAGATGGACTTAACACTGTGTTCAGAGGAGAACTGAAATATTGTATACACATCACCACTGCCAACAAAGATAATACGCAATCTGATAAACACACGCACACACACACACACACACAATCCCTAACTTGTCCCTCACGGATGTGTAACTCTGTGACCTGCGCTGTCAGTGTGAGGGCGGTCATCAGGTGAGGATGGAGCTGAGGAGTGGTCAGGGCTGGTGATGGGAGAAGGAGGTTGGGGTTGACGCCACGTTGAGGGCTGAACGCTTAACTGACCAGAAGGTCACAGGGCCGACCCATGGACATCTCGTATCTGCGCAGGTGGTTGACCAGAGACTGTACGTAGGTGAAGACACATTTGGAGTCGGGTTTATTACCCATGATCATCATGTCCTCCACTTCCAGCAATGGCATGCAGTTGGCGTAGGTCCTGAGGAAGAGGCATACGAGAAAGACAGTGTGTGTGAGAAAGACGAGGATGAACAGATGAAGTGGGATAGGACCAGAGACGCAGTGGAGAGGGGGATATTCTCTTCAGACTTCATATTTAGTCATCCATTAGGTGCTTTCTTGGGATCATTAACCATTAACAGGTGGAACTGCAATAGGTAAAAAAGCTACACACATACACACACCTATCTGTACTGACCAACTCTGGCCCTTCCTTGTTGTGGTTATGCTCTACTTTCTTTAGCCGTTTTTGTCTTAGTTTTCTTTAAACCACTGTGTGGAAAACCCTTTAAAAGCTCTCTATAAATAAACTTCTGTAATACAGTGTGTTTTTTTTTAAATAAACAGTTTTAGGAACTGAGACCTCACGTGTGAGCTATGCAGCGAGTGACCACAGGGTGGCATTATCTCCACATACTACAAACCCTCTGACACAAACAAAGAGTAGAGTAACAGGAACAGACCAATCATACATCTCCTGCATGAGAAAATAAATGTCTACAACATAAAGTCTGTTTTGTTATTTAGGGAACTGAAGACATGAGTCATTCAGCACTTTGCTGTTACAGTATCTTTGAAAGGCTTTACAAGCCAAGTGCATAAACACCTGTAGACTCACACTTGATAAAAAGTCAATGGACAACACAGCCTTTCCATTCTCTGCTTTGTTTCTTAAGTCCTCAGTTTGAAACATTGTGATACTGCAGTTCCTTTTAAAGTGTTGAGCTGCAGATGGTCCTGGCTCTCTGCCTGGGCCATAGTCTGGCTATGCAGAAATGCACACATGGACACACACACACACACACACACACACACACACACACACACACACACACACACACACGCACACACGCACACACGCACACACGCACACACACACATACCATGTTTGGTACTTTGGACCTCAGTAGCTTCAGATTAACATGAAGGATCAAATATCCAAAAGCAGCCAATAAAGGAGTTTTCTGAACCACTATTTTTTATATAAATCCTATCAGCTGCTTAAAATATGCACTTACACACACTCATACACACCCCCTCCATCCCATTAAGTCTGTCCGAACCAAAGTGAGGTTCTTTCGTAGGCTCACCCCCTCTCTCTCACCATGGGTTCAGATTTAGGTGGGGTGCGACTCTAGGAGGAGTTTTTGGTTTTAACCAGGCCCTTCGTCACCAGACCCCTGTAGAACTCCTGCAGGTACGTATACACACACTTCCAATCCGGCTCGCGCATCTTCACCATGTCGTCCACATCCAACAGCTGGGGGCAGTCCACTAGTTTCCTGTGCCCACACCCGGCAGGGGGGAGATGGGGGAGGACGAGGAAAAGGAAGAAAAGGCAGACCCAAACAGAGAGAAAGAAAGAGGACAAGGAGGACCAGGAGGAAGTACAGATAAGAAAAAGAGAGAAGGAACAGGACAGATAGTGGGACACATTGTGGGAAAGAGTGTAAAAGAGGAGGAGAAAAAAAACAGATAAAGCAGTGAGCAGCCAAATGAAAAAGATTGAGGGTGAAAAGACAGAGGGAGAGAGAAAGGACACAAAAAGAAACAATAACATTACATTCTCGTGTTCACAAATATATCCATGAGTTGACATGCTTCATGAACATCATGATACATACAGTATGTGGCAAACACACACACATACATACATAAGACAAAACAAAATGTCAAATGAGCGTCACGTGATGCTCATTTAGCCTTTTTGTTTGTTGTTGTTTTTTTCTGTGCACTAAGACAAGAGACTTCCGACCATTTCAATACGACTACATTTTGTCACAAATACGATGAAAAAAACAACAATGATTCTGCAAAAAAATAAAAAAAAACACACACAAAAGATACAACCATATGGTGACTCTAAAAACACACTCGTGCACAGGATGGTGTGTGAGTGTGTTTGTGTTGTGATTCCAGATAACACCAAACTGCTGGGTCAGGAGTGCCCGAGGGAAGTGAGTGAGTGCAACACAAAGGTGGAAAGATGGGGGGGGCTGTGGTTTGGTGACACTCCGGTGTTGAGAGCAATAAATAATTGATATAAACATCAGCATGGACGATATCCTACTGGTAGCATGTGAACACACATACACACACAGAGGTGGGTGGGGGGGCATCACAAGTGTGAATGGTGTGATGAAAGAGGGATGAGAGAGAGAGAGAAGCACAGGAGAGGAAAGAGATTAGGAGTCAAAAGGAGGGGGGATATTGGAGGCATAGCCGAAAGCTCGTCCATTCTTTTTAACCTGGTGGTTGTCTGGGGAGGGTTTGCTCATGGGTCTCTGGTTTAGAGCAGACGGAGAGTGTCACAGTGGTTACTCATGGTAGAGGACAGATGAGAGTGGAGGTTTAGAGGTGGAGTAATTAGGGTAGTGGCAGTAATGGGGCTCGCTCAGCCTTGAGGTAGTGCGATACACCTGGGAGAGACAGGGAAAGTTAACACCGGGACATCAGCCGAGGAGCTTCCACATGTTTTCAGTCCGCCTCCGTACTTTAGGCTCAAGTGGATGTTGACAAAGAGCAATACTGAATAAATCTAGGAGTGGATTTTACAAAGGAACGAGAGGAGGTGATGTGAAAAGTTTGTATAATGCAAATAAATGTGTTGGTTTGGGCCAGAAACGGCACAGAAACACTGGTTTGGATTGTTTGATTTTCATTGTGTGTTCACTCGGTGACTGCCTCGGGTGGGAGATAACATTTATTATCTTTAAGCTTAAGAGAGCTTAAATCTAAGCATGTAGCTTCTTCTGCTGGGTTCTCTTCATATTCAAAAATAAAGGCTCCCTGCAGTTGATGTGGTTTCTCCAACAAAGTCGGTTGATGCTCTCACTTTCCGTCAAAACTTAACAACAATAAAATAACTGATGTGGTTAGTGGACATGTTACTGGGACAAAACATTTTTTTTTTGTGTGCGTGTACTCACTCTGCAGTGCTGAAGGCAACCTCAAAGTTTTGCCTGCGGTTGCTGGGGCTCAGGGCGCTGTAGTCAAACGATTCAGGGAAAAAATTGTGCACCAGGGCACAAAATGCCATGCCATTACTCCAGCTGGATGAAAAATTTTGAATATCCACATGCTGAGGGAGAAGACAAACAGAATAAATACAGAGGCAATGATAGATAAGAGATGGAAACATTCCCAGAGTAGGAGAACATTATCAGCTACAGCTTCACTGGCTGACATTAAAGATGAGCACACAGTGCGTTGCTGTGGCTGCTTGACTCACCTCATAGGAGCGGGTCTTGGCGCGGCACCAGTCGAGCAGCATCTGCTTGATGGAGTTTGCGTTGGGCACTCCAAAGCTGGTGGAACGCTGAACCTTGTTTACCTTGGCGACCGCTTGATTTCCAGGGCTAAAAGAAAAGTTAAGTTTGTGTTAATATTTACATGCTTTCACCTGCTCCTTTTCTTTCTTTGGTAGCAATACCTCTGTGTTTATCCTTACCCTCCTCCCTCCTTCTCCAGCTTCTCTATCATGGCTTTGCGGGCCTGCATGGCAGAGGTCTTCGGCAGTGTCTGAGCCCTCATCAGCTCCTTGCGCCTCTCCGCCTGCCTCCGCTCCACAGCGGCCAAACCACCGCCGCCGCTGCGAGATGATGAGTCATCCTCGCGATCAAACACACTGAGGCAGGGATACGTAGAGCGAGTTAATTTGTGAAAGTGGATTTTAAGTTTAGTGTAATCACTGCACTGACGTTTCACAACCTACCTGCCCACTTTTTTGCTTGTGTTAGAGGAAGAGGATGATGTGGAAGAGCTAAAGCTGTATGATTTTGACTGGACTGTCCCTCCTGAAATAAGAAACAAACACAGAGACAAATGAATGCTATTGGTGATGAGACTGTAATGACTGCACAGTATTGTAAGAGAGCCAGAGAGAGCAAAATAAAGTAATGACTCACTGTCTGTTTTCTGCACATAACTGGCCTCAACCATAGTGCTGCGTGATGATCTGCTCCCATCATCTAAACACACAAATACACACTTTAAATGATTAATATATTGGACAGGGTCCATTTCATGACAGTCAGTGCTCTTATAATTATTTTCTATCCGCTTTAACTGTTTTTCCCTGAGATTTGTTTGTTGCGATTGTAAAATAAGAAGTCACTGTAAATAAGAACTGTTTCTTTGTTGACTTGAGTGGTTAAATACAGGTTCAATAAAGGTTTAAAGAACATTCAGAAATGGACAGGAAAAGAAGAGAAAAAACTACCAGACTTGGCGAAGCGGTCTGTCTTGGTGACTTGACTGTGGCTGGAGCCATCCGCTGACTTCTCCACCTTCCTCATTACCACCTCTCCTGCTCCGACCCCAGCGCGACCCTTCTGTGCTTCTCTCTGCTGCCGGAGCTCCTGCAGACGGGTCTCGCGCTCCTTTTCTCTCTGGTCTGGGGAGGAGGAGAGGAGAGGAGACAAGAGAAGGGATGGAAAGGTGGTGGGGAAGGTGGAGAGATGATGTCAGTGGAAAAAGAGGAGGAGGAGGACAAGAGGTCCTAAACAAACTGCCAGCACCTCATCTGACTGCCACAAAGATGGATTAAAAAAGGGCTTCCAAATTTGAGGCGATACATTTCAGCATTCTTTCCACAGTACCGTAAAATTCCTCTGAACACACAAACACCCGCAGGTGGGAGGCTCACAGCTGAGCCAAAGCTGTCAAGTAATATGCACTGCACAAACATCACAGATCAAAAAGAACAAACGCACTCTGATTGTCCCTGTGGAAGGCTGTGCCAAATTCAGTAATGTCCAGAATACAGATACCTTCACATGTGCACTGCTACCTCCAGCTTTTATCTGAGTGTGTAGTTAAACATACAGTGCAGTGTTGATCTTAGACATTTATTTTTAAACTCTATATGATTCTGTCTGATATTTTGTTCTATATTTGCAGAGGTTAAGGCACTAAGGGCTGTCTCGAACCCTTTGTATGTTTGATGCGACTGAATGCACTGAACTTTCACAGACTTTACTAGTGACAGATCTTGGAATCCAATTAAGAGGTTTAACTGTCAGCTCAATGCAAACAGACGCTTGGTAAAACCATATGGTGAGTGTCCACTGCAAAACAAAATACACCAAATGTGGTTTCAGTAACAATGTTGCAGCACACTGAGGTGAGTGTGAAACAACAGCATTCATGCACGTTAACAAATCTGTCAACATATCCTTCATTATCCACCAGCGAGATACGAGAGATACACGGTTTAAAAATTGTAGTGGTTTGAAAATGACAGGATAGTGCACGCAAAAAGTCAAACGCAGGCAAGTATCAACTGTTAATGCACACTGCACACCAACCTGCCCTACCTATTTCCTCTTGAGTACATCCCAGCATGACCTCTGAGGGCAGAATGGATAAAAATAATGTGGAAATTGCAATTTGTTTAAAACTTGTACAGAAATGACAGATACTGATAATCCTGAGGAGGAATAAAGTATATTAAAAATCATCAGGCTTCATTAGAATGAGGCAGTGTGTCCTTTGATGATTTGAAAGAAAGCAGTGGTCCTGAAAGAATTAATGGAGCAAAAACTTTCAAGTGATTGAAGTAACAGAAGATTGATTTTCTTAATGCCGTTACCTCTCTTTCGCTTGCGAAGGTCTCTCATGGCTGCACGGATCATCTTCCTCTCCTCAAAGTCTTTTGACTCATCGAGCTGTGGAAGGAAAAAAAAAAAAAAAAAAAAAACAAATGGAAACAATGAGACATCATTCCTCACACAAAGCTGAAGTGGCATGGACCTATTTATGCATGCAGTTCTAACGTAGCATTGTGCATACCCACAACACTGGGCTGTGACTTTTCCAGATATACTCACACATAGCTGGCAAGATTTACTGCTAATACACAAACTTTCTGCATGACTGAAGCTGCTCTATTCATTACAAAGTGGAACTTTAAAATCTAAATCATCCAGAATTATAACTTGGGTGTGAAGTACCATTTTGTCAAGGAGCTCTTCATCCTCGATAGCAGCCAGCTGTTCAGCAGTCAGTTTTCCGGAGCGCTCATCAGGCTTGGCCAGAGTGCTGGAGCCGTTGGGGATGGCTGGGACATGACACGGCACCTGGACAGATGAAAACACCGGCTCAGAGGCCACAACGGGCTCTGTCTCCATCTGCACAAGACACAAACACAAACAGCGTGAGCAAGAGCAAGAGGACATACACGCAGGCGCACAGTTACATAAATTACTCTGATTGCAGAGTTGACATTATATAAATTAACATAATAATAATGAATAAAAAGGTAATTGTGACCTTAGTTGATGCACATAGCATTGCCATCTGAGTGCTCCTACAAGCAGTATCCCCTGACCTGGAGCTAAGGTTTTAAGTTGGACACTTATGAAACCATGATGACGGTTTAAAAAAACCAAAAGACATTTGGGATTTAATAAGCACAAGAGGATTTTTGTTAAAGACACTGCAGCCATAATAGGCCTGAGTGTGTGAGGTAGGCTCCCTCTTATAATCTCTTTTTGTACCAAGACTGCCCACTCACCATATCTCATCATTTCTTCCATCCCCTCTGCCTTCTAGCCATGAGCCATGAGAGGGTGACAGTAAGCACAAGAGAGCGAGAGCAACTCTGCCAAGTTACTGTTAACGTAGTTCATGGAGTGTGACTGACACACTGAGTGTCTAAATGATACTGAACTGCTGCGAACCAAGAGTTTATGTGACAGGTACGGCTGGAAGATGGGAACAATGCATTAGCAAATATAAACTCAGAGGAAAAACATCCAAAGCCATCCTTTCTGGTAAGCCCACCACAGAAAGAGTGGTGAGTGCAGGAGCAAAAGAGAACATGCTGAAGAGGAAGTAGAGCACCACGAGAACAAATATAACATTATAGGTGATTAAAGTAAACCTGGCTCTACCCGCATATTCTTAGTGATCATAAATCCTACTGAAAACACCTCTTAAATTTTCATATGGTGCTGAATGCCTGTGGCAGACTATGGGCTCTAGCTGTGGCTTCAGTGCTTTTGTTGTAACTGAGTCCGGGTCCAGATATAGCTCAGACAGCTGGCCCTGTCCCTGTCCACAGCTGCCTAGCCTCCTCCCTGCAGGCCCCAGCCAAGCCAGGTCTCACTAGGGAGGGACAATGCCCAGCATAGCCACAGTGCTGCATGATCACGGGTGGCCACTGGTTTTAAGACTTTTCTGGACATGGGACAGACTGGACTGAGAGGCACTTGACCGACGAGGAATGTTTTGGGACACAACATAGCTAAACACAGGGCTCTGAGTCAAGCAATGAGGGAATGCGTGTGGGGTGAGAAAATCCCAGATAACCTTCATGCCCGAGTGATGTTCAGCTTCAGTGTACACATCAGCATCTGAGTCACTGTGGCATAACAATCCTAGTAGTAATAGTTTTACTCTAATGGGAGAAGGGCTATAATCCTTTGAAACGTTTTGATTCACTACTTGCAACACAGTCTCCACCAGCAGAATTATGAATAGCTAAAATAGGAGAAAATGGCCAGATAAGGTCACCCCTTATTATCACAATCTGCTGCTGCTGCTGAGGAGAGTAACCTAAGTAGTCATTTAAAGCCATCACCTTTACTGGAGCAGTTGACTGGCAGACCCAGCTGTCTTTGCAGGATTAGACAGGAATATGAACTCTGGCTGGTTGAATAACCTAAGATAATGCAGCAAATACTCAATATCCCTCAAAATGTCACCAGTGCAACATAAGCATACACCCACGCAGGGTTTATTATGGGATTTCAAGAGTGCAAAGAAATAACAAGGCTAAAGATGAGGGCCAAGTTATCCTGACATGCCATAAAGCTGTGCATCGATCGATAAAACAGGAATGTAAGACTTTAAATCCCATTCTTGTTTTAAAGGCAGAAAAGTATAACCTTTTTGAAAAACATCTAAAGCCAAGTATGTCCCAGCCAAAGTGAAGATTATATATGCTTTTATGAAGCTTAAGGCCAGGGCCACTGTTCCATACTCATTCTTTCCCCCCACCAGGAAGTGTATCCACTCAAAGGAACACTTGCATGCAGACACACACACGAGTGCTAGCCAGGACACGAACAGAAACACATGGTGTTAGAGGATTGAAATACCTCCTTGACAGATTGTAGTGAAGTCCTCCACATAAACACAACCTGTCAAAACTGACTGACAGCCGAGATGGTCAGGCTTTTTTTTTTTTATGAAGTGAGGCCATTATGTCAGATTAAAACCAACGGAAAGATAAGAGAGATGGAACAGTAGGTCAGCAAGTATGTGAGCAGAGCAGAGTGTCACTGGCATGGTGCGTTAAACTCACGGCCAGCTGATCCAACGGTATTGTCAACAGTGGAACAAAAGACATTCCCATTCTTCAAGCAGCTTATCTGAATTAAAAAGGGTCATGATCAGAACCATTAACAGAAAGCAGTACCGTGCTGTTGTTGCAAGAAATGTTTGCCATCAGAGAAGGAGCAGAGAGCGAGCGGCAGGTTGCGAAGGTAGGCGGGTGAGGGACAGGTGAAGGCCCCGAATTCTGAGGTGTACTTGTCTCTGTAGATACAGAGTCTGAGTCCTGGGGACATGATATAGGTTCCTGAGGTGTGCTTGATAGAGTATCCAGAGAAGTGCTGGCTGGAGTGTCTTGGGGTGCAATGGATGGAGAATCTTGGGGAGTGCAGGAGGAAATATCATGTGGTGCTTCAAGTGCAGTACCCTGCGTTGTGCAGGATGGAGGATCACTGGATGAAGTTGGAGGATCACTGGGTGAAGTTGGAAGATCACTGGGTGAAGTTGGGAGATCACTGGGTGAAGTTGGGAGATCACTGGGTGAAGTTGGGAGATCACTGGGTGAAGTTGGGAGATCACTGGGTGAAGTTGGGAGATCACTGGGTGAAGTTGGAAGAATACTGGAACGAGTTGGAGGATCACTGGAAGGAGTTTTGGTTTCACATGGAATTGAAGGTGAGCTTTCCTTGCTGGGCAACACATGTAGTAAGGGATCAGGTAGCCCCATTACCTGGCACAGGGTCTCCACTTGCCTCACCAGTCTTTCTTGCTGAATCCTGAGCCTCAGGTTCTCATCCTGTAACCTGGCAAGGGCTTCAGCCAGAGGAGCCACTTGAGCTGCTGCCTCCTCTAGACGGGCATCCACTCGCTTCCCAAACACCTGCATGTCACTATGGATCTCCCCCACTGCACACCGTAATGTTAATTCAAATTTCCTCTTGTAAAACTGCTCCTCTTCATCCTCTGCCTCTTCCTGAGCAAGCAGATCACCAATCACCTCCTCCAGGCCAGACTCGGCACAAGCACTATCTGGACATCCCAAAGCCTCTGGAGCCTCTGAGGCTGGGAGAAAGTCCAGGTTCACTCCAGGCATGGCCAGACCAGCTGCACTCGATTTCACACTGACCAAAGTCCTTTTAGTTTAAATCCACTCAAGTGGCCCAAAACTCAAGTTACAGCTTAAGATCAGAGAAATCAAAAGGTTGTGGCCTTTTCAGATGTGGGGGCAGAAGGTGTCCTCTCGGTCAGTCTGTCTACAGAGACTTTCCAAAACAATGCAAGTTCTTTATACCCCCAGCAAATCCCCCCTCTTTACTGGTCGACACCCTGACAGCCAATGAGCATACAAGGAATCCCGTTTCCCAGGCAGCAGTAGCCCCACCCACCTTTTTCCAGGTGCCATGGACATGTCTATTTATCTCCTGCCTCGCCATTATTCCAGTGAGGCTGTCAGTCCTGGGGCACTGGTCAAGGCCGGTGGGGCAACAATTTAGAAAACTCAACCCTCCCTCTTTCAACTTTCCTTTTATTTAGAGCCCTTGTCCTTCACACCTCGACTGGCAGGCAATGATGTTTAGATGTGGCTGTAAGCCTGGGCTGAGTAGAATTATATGCAAGTGTTGCACTCCTTTTCAGATTGCTTTCTGACAAAAATGCAACTGAGTATTGACTAATCAGGTCAGTTGTGTTGCAAAGGAGACCTCCAGAGGGAAGATCAATCCATGAAGGACAAAGTGTTTAGGGCCATGAAAGAGCAGACTGGGTAACCAGTGACAGTGAGCTGTGGCCCAGTTACCCATGGCTCTGAGGAAGGATGTTGGGAAGGACATTAAGGCCCTTCCAAGATTTTGTTTCAGGCTTCCTAGCAAAGCAGCGGGGACCCTGCTGCTTCTCACATGGATGCTCCAAGTGCTTCTGTGTTAAATTAAGAGCTCTCCAAGAGCAGTGACAGAAGTCCGTGCGTATGTTGTTTATAGTGTAAGATGCTCAAGTACATCTTCTAAATGCTTACTGAAGATTTATTGGCATATTGCAGTATATGCAGAAAAAAATCAAAGAGTAATGTACATACTGTATCTCTGAGTGCAGTCTGAGTAGAAGCATAAGGCTACACATGACAAAATGTGATACGCCTGTAATTCTTGATTACATGCCAATATATCACAAGCATTAAACTAATTTGAAAAAGTTCAAGCACAACAGAAGAGGCAGCTGTATATATTTGTACCATAATAATTTAATGCTGTGACTGTATAACCAATATGTTTACACAAATGTACAATGCATGAATCATCTAATATCAAAACAATCAGGACTGGTATTCAGTGGAGAACAATGTGGCAAAGGGCAACAGTGGTCTCTCCTGGGATTTACAGGTAAGCAAAACAGTTCCCAGGAACAATGTGGGCCTGAGGGAGAGTGGACAGAAATGTGACTGGCAGCAGAGAAAGTGGGTCAAAACCCAAGAAGGACATGGCTCTTGTCCTACCATGCATCAAAGCATCAAAGCATCAAAGCACTAAAGCCCTGTACACAGCACAGTAGAGCAAAGTGATGTAGAACTCTGTACATATAAAAGTCTGTATTTCTTCTTATTATGGCAGAAACCAATGTAGTAGTGTGCATTGGATGAAAATATATGTGACAGTGTCTATTGTAAAACCTCTGCAGCTATTTATAAGAGGGTTTCCAAAAACAATGGTGTGTAGCCTCCAACAAAAATAAAGCAATGCAGAGATTTCAGACTAAAGAAGAACCAACATAGCAAAGAGGGGAAAACGTCTCTTGAGGAAATCCAAATCTAAGCTGGCAATAAAACATCAGGAATAAAAAGAGAGTGGTTTTGAAATCAAGTTCATGCAGACTTTAGATTTCCTCACACCTTTTCTCCTCAGTTTTCACCCCCCTCTGCAGACCAGGCTTAAATCTGTGACACATGTGAACTGGTTGGGTAACCAGCATATATCATGGATCAGCAGTATGTTAACAATGTGGTCCTTATCCCTCTGTGTGACAGTGAGACAATCTGTCGCTGACGGTAGCCTGTGTAACCACGTTCACACAGCAGCTCTTTACCAGCGTGACCCAAAGCATCGCAGTGGTAATCTCTATGACCACAGGAAACAGACTGACTGTCCTGTCATCACCCTGGTTGTAATGCTAAGGTATTATTTATATTTGTGTTCAAGGCCGAGTGCAGTGGTCAGCACGGACGGACAGCTGAGATGAGCAGGAGCAGCTGTGATCACTTGGAGCAGGAGGCGTCGATAATCAGCTGCCGGTCTCACCTGTCTGAAATGAACTCTCATCACTGCACTAAAATACGACAAGCATCTTGACCTTTTCGTTTAACTTAATCTCAGTCTTGCTTTTATAATAAATAACAAAGAGCAGAATTATCTTTTAAAGTCGTGTTTGTCTTTCAATTGTTTATTTCATCTACAAAGTTCCTCTCAGTTTACCCTCAAATGGATTGTAATTTTTAAGCAATCCACTGCGAGAACTGATGCTATCAGCATCAACATGTTTTATTGGAATTTAAAAAAATACCACTAAGGAAATAGAGGAGGTTGTGAGTACTGAAGTTAGACCACCGAGGAGAAGCCCAGACCACCCAAACAGATCAGAGTCCCAGACAGGAATCACTGTGGTCAATAAACAGCCACCAACAACACTAAACAGGAAGAGCTTATTAAAAGTCATGTTACACCACATATTGCCTTGATATCCCCACACCATGACCGTATACACAAATGTGAAAAGGGTGCCTTACATAAAGCTACTTTAGTCAGAATCCTCTGCTGACACGTCTCCTCCTCTCACACAACCTTGAACTTTGAATAAACCAAGGAAAGTCAGAGAACAGGTGCTCTCTGGATAAATCTGAAGGTAACCACGCTGCCTCCCCCTAGTTGATGCTAACCAACAGTGTCTCCTGCCGTTTTCACTGTTTGTAGGGTAAAACTCGAGCAAACGCAGCACAAGCAGGTGAAATATCAGCCTATCTGATCAATCAATATAGGCATTCATGTATGTAAACCAAAGCTTGTTCTAGCATTCTTCTGGTGGGTTACATTTTTCAGCCAGTGGCTTCACCCTCATCCTCAACAGTTATGAAAAACAGAGCAGAATAGTTACAATTTAAGGCTAAACTAAGGATTGGTGAGTGACACATGAAGCAGGCTATAATCCATACTGTGCTGGTGGGTTGCTGTTGGAAACTGTGAGAAGTCCTGGGAGGTAAATAATCTTTTTTTACATGAAAAAAGCAGATTTCTTTTAACCATAATTTAAAATACATCATGTTTAGTCATATCATACACACGTTAGCACCCACACAGAGATGTTACCTGTATGCCGTTATGGTAATGTTGTAAAAGCACTCTGCTCAGACACGTATAAACCTAATCCCTTGCAGAATCTCTGTCCTCTGTCTGCAAAATCCCTTTTCTAAAAGAAATAATATTGTGCTGTGGTAGCTTAGTTTGTACCTGCCCCTATGTTTTAGCGTCTCAACAAGGGTCTAACTGATGGAGACCGTCTCATTCCAACACCTTAAATTCACCCTGCAGCCTTGTGGAGCCTCCTCCCAGCCCTAATTAACCAGCTCCCTGATCCCATAACCAGATTACCACTGTGCTCCGCACAGGGGGTGAAATACACAGCCATTAAAGAATAAACACAACACCGCCTCTCGTCACCCTCTCAACCCCCCCACTCGTCATTCATGAAGACACTTCCTTTAATGGAGGAGCAAGGAGGTTAAGGAATGAAGCTAATGGGAGTTTAGCAGTTCTTCCTAACCCCAGAGGGGAGATGGGAGGGGGATTGGTTTCTGCTCCTTCTGACAGCAGACACTTTCCGCCATCAGTAAGACTCTGACCACTTTCAGCCTATTCTAGGCGAGAGTTGCATCTTTGGCTTCTAGCCCCCTAAGAAAAGATGTGATGAAGAACTTGTGTCAGCATGTGTTTTAATGGAGCTGGACAGTAATTGGTGTGCATGAAGACACACAGGTGTGATTTAGGAAACATTTCCCAGATAAATCTCAGTGGGCATGGTCTGCTGAGAGAAAACAAGGAATGCCCAGAGCACCTCCCTCTCCCTCTCTCTCCTTCACATACCCTACAAGGACAGATGTGACTGGCTACCCACTCTGTGTTTGATAAACACTGTTCTTCCCTCCTCTCCCTCCTTTTCTCACACTCTGTCTGTCTTTCACTGTCCCGGCTCACTTGCTTTTCAGGCCTTTATAGGTGATTGCCGTGTTAGGGACGCATCAAAAAAACACGGTGGAATTCAATTGATGAAAACAAAACGTTAATCTGTACTCTGATCTGAACTGAGAATGTGTTTTAATGCATGCTTGACAGGTTCTGTCAACATACCGTGGAGCCTCAATGTTGTGATCATTTCCCAAAAAATAATTTGCAATGGCGGGCTGTACCTTGATGGAGGATCCGGAGGAGAGGCTGGATGAGGAGATCTTAAATGGTGTCGCTCTGAGGCCAAGGGTCAACTCTGAAACAGACACACACATTTACATTGATTTTCATTTAATGTTTAAATTCAGGTAGATACACAGATATAGGGTCCTGGCACCAATATGCATGTGTACAGTTGAGGTGTGTGCATTGTCTTGCACTGTGTTGGTGGTAGCCATTAGTCAGTTACATAAGCTGCCATATTGTCATAAACAACATGGACTCATGTCTAACAAGAGACCAGTGAGAAATTGAAGGTGACGACACCTTTAACATAAACAGCCCACTTCATTCACTTCACCTGTAAGAGTACACACATGCATATCCTTGTTGTAACTGGTTGTCAAACCCCCACCTCCCATCCACACCCCCACCTCTTCCCTCCTCTATAAATCATAAAATACAGGTTGAAGAAGACCAGCGCAGCACAGTGTACATTTAAGAGTCATGGTAGGTGCTTGTGAGAGAAATCAGAGACACAATCCCAGTCTGCCTTTAGTCAGTGGGAGAGGGCAGGTTCCCAAAAAAGGAGCCCAAAACCATTAAAGCAAATTGAAACAAAATCGTGTGACCCACGTGTGAAGGAGCCCAGCGGGGCTGCCAATGTGTCCTGTTGGGGGGGGGTACTGTACTGTAATTGCACAGGTCCAGCTTGAGTCTTAAATAAACTGTTTGGGTTGGAGGTCCCAGTTGCTGGAAAGAGCTGAAAGTTAAGACGTCTTGTTTGGACAGACTGTAACAGCAGCTGTAGCAGCTCTGCTTCTGAAACGGACCGAGATTCCTGATATTCATGTTTTTGTTTCATGCAAATAATGAATCCCTGCTGGTGCTGTTTACACTATGAATATGTACTGTGCTGAGTACATATGTTACATTACAGGAACATTGTGTTATCAGGAGAGTAGCATGTCCCCCAACAAAATGCTACATGTTTTAGTAATTCAAAGTATTAAATAGATGTTTTGGTTGTGAAGTGACATAAAGATTTTCTAATTTATGAAAAATCTGATACTATTAGCTCAACACAGCAAGCCTAAACAGGATTATTATTAACTGTGTCAAGTTTCTCCAATCAGCCACCATGTTCACTACTTAGAAAACAGGGCCCACTGTCTTTTTTTCTGTTAAAAGTTATCTTCACAGAGCGCCCTGATGGCCTCGGTGTCAAGGCGCCGACCATGAACTGCATCCTCCCTGGTTCGTGTTCAGCCCTGGGATCTCTGTTTCATGTCCTTTCCCATATCTCTTCCCTGATTTCCTGTCATCTCGCTTCTCATCCTCTACTCTACCTCATTATTTTATGTAAACTACAAGTGTTCACTGAGAGGTGATGGCATTGGACAAAGGGCTCCAGCGACATTCAAACTGAGGATCCTACTGTGTCTAAACCTGCAGGCCACCACTAGTTACCTCATGACTTTGGTTTCTATCTTCTCATCTCTTTTCAGGTAAACTGATCAATGGACCTTCTCATTTAAACACAAGCCCAAATGAGGAGGGAGACAGATGATATCTACATAATGTAACAAACAAAACACTGTACTGTGTGGGCTAGCAGGCTTATTCAATTGCACTACAACAGTATTACTATTCAGTCTGACCTGAGACAGCCAGTTGTTCTTTCCTTTGTCCCAATATACTCTCTGCTACTACTGACCTCACTCCCTCCACACTGCAGCAACTTGCCCACTCTATAACAAACACTCTTCAGTACAACCATGCTGCTGCATATTCAGCCCTAACATCCATCCCCACTCATCTATGTGCTTTGCTTGTTTGGCCTCACAAAAACCATTGTCATCATCCCACTTGTGACCGATTCCTTGGTGCCGGTCGCCTCCCACAGCGACTGGGATTCCATTGTGATGTGTGTGAGTTGACATTAGCGAGGAAAAAAACATACAGTTGCTAAATTAAGATTCATGCTGCCTGAAACACAGTGGGCTGCAGCTTTGCATACTGTATTAACTCCACAAAGAGCATTAAAAGGTCACTGTCATCAAGTTCACCTAAAAAAGCATTGTGCATTAGTTATTTGTGATAAGGTTGAAGCTCCTACCTGCTCTCTGTCCCAGAGCATTAGTGTTGATGCGTGGGGTCATGTTGGTGATGGGCACAATGTTGCCCCTAGCAGAGGATGTAGAGGAGGTGGTGGTGCGCCCATCCTTGATCTCGATCGTGAGGAAAGTCTTCATGTCCGGGTCTGCCTCTCCCTGGGTGACCTGCTGTCCAGCTGCTCTCCCTGGGGTCCTGTCTTCCTTTGAGTTACTGGAGGCGTGCACATCTTTTTCAGCTGGATGCCTCGTCCCACCCATGGAGTTCTGCCATTGGCTAGCTGAAGACAGAGGTTTGTTAGCCACACCTCTTGGCTGAGGTGTGGTGTGACTCTGGGATGCGGCAGAGGTGTGAGACGTGGAGTCCACGTGTGGCCTTGCTGGCCTGTCTCCAGATGTGCTGAGGGATGCTGCTGTGTGTGTAAACAGCTCAGTGGCTTTGGAGAGATTTGCCTGGCCGCTGCTGCCGGAGATGGTCCCATTCCTCAGAGGAGCTTTCTTCACAGCTGGGACATTTTGGCTCTGACTGGGCTCTGTGAACTTGCGCATTCGATCACGCACAGAGTTGGTGCGGTTAAATTGTTCCAGTACAACATCTTTCTTCTCAGGCGCTGTAAAGACATAATGCAGGAGGGGAGTTGAAATCACAAAAACACTTTGCAGCATTCAGTGCAGCAGAGAAATAGAGACTAGATCCCTTCCACTATTCAGGCTGAATTTAGCACACTTATAGTGTGTTGCTCTCGTCATCTCCTCCTCCACATCAAAAGCCCTCTACAAATCCCATTCCTCTTTTACTCCTCTCTCTACTTTTTGTTCCAGCCCCTTTATTTTGCTTGACTTAACTGACTTGACTCCCCCGTTTCAACATCTTTCAGTTGCTATTTTGTGGACTTTTCCGGACATGTTTCTTCCACTCGTGGCTAGTTTTTCTTTCCCTGATCCTTATTTCTGTCAGATAATGTGTACAAAGCTCATGCTTTGGCACAGACCCTCCAATGGAAAAAAAACATTAGTGATTAGAGGAGAAGATATTCAGGTCATCCTAACAAAGAAAAACAGTGGACACAACAATGAGCACTGTCTCGTAGAAAGAGAGAAAATGGTGTATATTATACATATTAACATGTCCTCCTCCCAGCCCTCTCTCCTGTGAGTGGCCCTATACGGTCACACTAATGGCTGAGATTGCCTCCATATACTGGAGTCCTACAGGCTATAAACCATCTGGTGTGATATTATCACACACTTTTAGGTTCCCCTCATGAAGACAATAAATGCAATGAGCAGTCCATAAACTAAATGAAATAAATCTGTGGATATAGAGTTAAATCTGTTGATGTTTTTACAATTAATCAATTAATCATTTAGTCTATCAAATGTCAGGGGAAAAAAATAAAAATGCACAACTTAAGTACAGGAATATTGAATTGTGATTGTTCTTTCCAATCAACAATCCTGAACTATAATTAACAAACAATTAAAAGAGATAACACACCCTCACATTTGAGAAGCTGGAAGTGATGAATCAAAGATTATCAAAATTGATGTTCTTTAATCAGTTCAGGAATAAGAGTTGGACTAGTTTCTTACCAGAATCCTTTGCTTTGCCGTGAGTGAGGGGCAGATCACTGTTAACTGTTATCTAAAAAGGCAAAAAAACAAACAAATATGACAATCAGAAACAGAGGAATCAGTAGAGAAAGTGGATTAAGGGTTAATATGTATTGTGGTTGGATTGACAACCACAAAGCGCACACACACACACACACACACACACACACACACACACACACACACACACACACACACACACACACACACACACACACACACACACACACACACACACACACACACACACACACACACACACACACACACACACACACACGAATCGACCGGTGGTGTTTTCATTATGTAACATTTGTGTTTGGAGTGAAGCGGTGGGCCTCTGTTCTTTTTTTGGCAGTGGGGCCATGATGGGCCCCAGAGTGTTTACATTACTCTCAGGAGACTGAGCATGAGCGTATATAGCGGAGGACAATAAAAGAAGTCCGGGGCCGGCCTTGGGTAAACACATTTAGAGGAGCGACACAATGGCGTCATGGTGACCTGAGCCCCCAAGATGGGAAATGTTGCTTAACAGTGTGTGTTTGTGTGTTCTCTGTACTGTGGGATGAAGAGAGACAGAACCTCTGGCCCCGTCACACTGTCTATCCCTCTCTGACAGCAGGTGAGGCTGACACACGCCGCTGAGGTGAAGCAGAGACAACCAGGTGCACAGTTTGTTTGTGTAGCCAAGTAACAAAAGTTAAACAGCACCTAACAGCAGCTCAGCATCGTATGTTTATGGATGCCGATGTGACCTGGGTGTCACTGAGGAATGGAGCGTCGGGGGTTTCTTGTCAGAGATCATAATAAAATGGAAAGAAAGACAAGGGAGCGATTGGACTGTTGGTGCAAGTGACCGCAGCTATGTAGCTCAACACCCCACTCTAGTGGTGTAGTTATTATAAACACTGTGTATTGCTGTTGCTATTCGTCTGACCCAGTGTACCTAGACCTGTAACTCTGCTGGAGAGGTGAACACCATTCGTTCAAAAGATATTCCCTCGTTTAGTGACAATGGCGGTGGAAAGAGATGAGAGATGTGTCCAGAATGTCTTAAATTTTGTATTTTTATAGTAAAAAAGAATGTCTAACTTGTAACCTATAACCTTTTTCAATGTATTGTTAATATTTTATTAATTATCAAAAGGGAAGAAAAAAAGTCTTTGGGGTTATTCTCAGAAATCAAAGGAGAATAAGTGATTTACAGAGCAGAAAAGAAAACACAAATATATCAGTTTTCACCCTTAAAGGTGTTACATTTAGTTGAGATATGGTGACTGTGAAGCCAAGATCATTTTAATACTCATCAAAGCTCATGAAAGCATTTAGTGAGTGTTTCTCTACTCTGTCATTCAGTATATGTTTATGTATTCATATTTCAGGCACAAAGATAATATTCGTCTGATATAAAGGACGGGATACTCTACCTGTTGTTTCTGCAAGTCATTTTTCCCCTTGCTGCTACCGTTGAGCATCCCATTTGCAGGATCTCTCCGAGATAAAAGTGCCCCATCGGGTTGCTCTTGGTCAATGATATGGTCCTGGTTGGACTGAGCCTGGAGACTTGCTGGGCCGTGGCTTCTGCTCTCGGTTTCTGAATCTGTGCTGTAAGTTGAACCACTCATGGCTACCTCCACCTCCTCCACTGGACCCCTCTCCTCAGAGGACATACTCACACTCTGATCAGATGTCCCCGAGTCAGTCCGTTTCCTCGACAAAAGACCAACGCTGTCTGAAGCCCCAGAACCGAAACGGGGTCTGACGCCGGAGTCTGAGACATCTGAGCCCAGTCTCTGTCTGACGTAGGACTGAGAGCTGATGCTTCGCTCTGATGCTCCAGAGTCTAGCCGACCACGCTGGGAGGGACTCTGGCTCCTGTCTGAGGCTCCAGAGTCCAGCCGGGCTCTGTAGGCGGATCCCAGACTCTTCTCCGAGGTCACAGAATCCAGATTGGACCTTGAAAGCCCAGAGGTCACGCTGCGGTCTGAAGCTGAAGAGTCTGACCTTTGACGATGAGATAGGACCAGCTCAGGCTCTGTGGTCACAGCCTCTCTCGGAGGCTGGATCAGCAGAGGTCCAGAGCCATCATCCTTCACCAGGTGATCAAGTACCAACACCATGCCTGAGTTGGAGCCTGAAACAGAAAACACAAATGAAAGATGAACAATAAATTCCTTTCTGTACCTTGTGGCTTTTGTGATTTTGTAAAAAAATCTGGTTTTCATGTAACTTCTATTCTTCCTCTCACATCAGTACTAAACTAAAGTGAACAGGGTGTTACTGTATGTGAGCAAAGGAAGCAGTAGGTGGTGAAGTCTGAGATTGAAATGATGGAAATGAAATACTTCTGCGGCACTGGGGCCCCATGAGAGGCCAAGCCAGAAAATATCACTCAGGATCACAGAGGAGGCACGTGGAGACATGAGGGGATGTAGGCATTTCCTCTAGACTGGCCTCAGTTCCTGAGCAAGATTTGCGAGATTGTGTTGGTGGATGTGCGTAAAGGAGAAGGAGTGATCACAACTAAAGAGAGGGAGCATATGGCATAATCATAGGTAGTAAGCAAGTGCAAGAAGTCAAAGAGGAAATGGGGGTGAAATAGAGACAAGGACAAGTACTTCCCCTCCCCTCTGTCCAAGCTCCTTCTCTCCTCAAGAAACCATACTCCAAACAACACAGCAGTGCCCACATCCTCCCCCTGTGACAGCCTCTACCTCCAACACCGCATGGGGCTTTCTTGTGATGGAATATCTGAGGTTGCGTACGTACCGCAGATAAGGAAAACAGAGAAAACCAAGTGTGTATCAGATTCCTACATTCCATGTAAACACCAAGGCCTGAAAACACTTCTGTGTGACCCGTGTTTGCACTAACTCTGCAACCAAATGGGGTTCACCAACTATGCATGCCTGTGATTTACAAGCCAAATCAAAGAGGGACTCCAGTCTGACCAGCAGCCGCAGTGATCTCTTTCAACTTTCAACAAGACTTGATCAACTGGGCTTCAACAGCTTCATTTAAAGCCGATGATCTTTTAAAAAAAAAAAAAAAGTTTATTCAACAACTCCCAAAAAGCAAGGTTTGTTAAATTGTGAACAGTCATTTAATAAATGGCAGCAACTTGTTGATTAAAGAAACCAGATGATTATGTAATACAGTCTGAATAGAAAACTGGATTATGATACACAATTAGGACAATAAGTGGCTCACATGTGACAGTGTGAATGGTCCACTGGACAGCAGCGTATATATCTAATGATGCAGTCAGAGCAAACTCAATTACTGGTCAACTGTAACTGAAGTGAGAGCCAAAACACAATGCTTCTTCTACAGACTCACGTTATTGTTTTTGCCGTTGGGGAGCTGTCATGTCCATTGTGTAGCATTTTCTGGGAAAATCCCCACTGCTACTGGGTAATGAGAGACTTGCTTTTTCCTTTAAAATAGCTACAAAAGCAGCCTGCGCTTGCACACAGTGCTGCCAGTCAACGTAGAGAGCACAAACAAAGGTCAACCAAGGGTTTTCTTTATGCTTCTTTCACACTGATGCAATGACCCGAAGACAGTTCGTCTTTGTCGTTGCTGTGAACAGGTCAACACAGGTTTTTCAACTCTGCCTCGCCTGCTGATGACCAGGGTTTAACACAGGGTCATCGCACCTCTGCTTTAGCGGGTAGAAGACAGGTTTCTACACTAAATTTACCGTTCTTATAAAATAACCATTGTACTGCTAAACCACTCTATGGTTTAGCAGTGACATGTATGGTGCAACAGTTTATTAGGACGAAGGTCTTGTGTGAAGGACAATGACCTGATGCATGACTACTGGCCTGGTACTAGAGGTAATACAAAAGACGCTCCCATGTTCAGTCCTCCATGTGGTTTTTGTGTGAAATTGGCATTAGTGTCAAACTTACAGCTGAGTATATTTCTCTCTTTCAAGAACTTGAGGCAAACAGCACATTCCACTGAGAGTCTCTGCAGACGTTTAATTTCCTAAATCACAGCCTTACCAGTTACAGTTTGGACTAGAACGCAGCACAGCTGGACACATGATCATTGAGGCAAAGCTTGTAAATATAAGCTTTTTTTTGTCTGAGAGGTAGAGGTATGTGTTTGTGCTACTTTGAAAGACCAAAGGAAGCCTCCACTGATCCTCCGATTCAATCTCTTATTTTCTGCCACTTTCACTCTGCTGAAAAGACAACCACCTCTTCATGAACCACCGGCCCACCCTGGCTACACCGTCCTTTCCAGACCACAAACGTCTGTGTCTTTGTTGATTGGTGTTCACCTTAAAAAGGCGCCTTCCTCCTTTGCTTTTTTATGGTGGTCTGTTTTTGTTGACCCTAGCTTCACCCTGGTTTAAATTGTAAGGCAGGGATAAATCAGGAGCAGTGGGGAGTTTCTCCGCCGAGTCAAGTCAACTAGGACTTAGTTCTGTTCTGGTATCAGCTTTATTTAGCAGAGGTGTGGCTGTTGGGTTTCCCTTGCTTGCTTCCCATAACCCTAACACCAACCCCAGGTCCATCAGAAGAACACTGGGAGCCAAGTCAAGGGCAGACCAGGCCACACTGAATGACATTACTATGACCGGCTGCCTCAGGCCAAGTTCAGCTCAGCCAGCTTTTATGAAAGAAGAACACTTTCATCTTCAGAAAAAGAATGATCAAAGTTCAATTTGGTCTCCTATGTAAAAAGGGGATTCTCCAATTAATTGTTTATCCAGAGGTATTTAAACTGAACAAGCAATAGGTAAGTTTGTAACCACATTTATGACTTCAACAATACACTTCTGACATTTTACAAGCTATTCATCGTCAGTTCTGTGCCTGTTAACCTTCAAGGTTAGTGAACGAAGCACATTCATTCCCTCCTGAAGGCTTTCATTCATGCTACTTCATTAATGGTTGGGCTAACAGAGTGGTTAATGAAATTACCTAACACTTTAGCAGCTAAAGTCATTAAGCCCAAGGCTGTGAGTGAAACAGTTAATAAAGTTCAATGAAGGAGCTTAAAGAGCCCGAACTAACATGACCTCCTGACCGCCACCTCAGGAGAATGGCTCCTTTAGCCGAATATTTTAACAGGCAGTGGAGAGGAAATTGCATCAAGACGGATGGATGTATGCAGTCACATGCAACAGAGGTGGTCCGTGTTGGCTTCAAGTTATAAGAGCTTACCTAAATCTGACCTTCAAGGTCAATGTTTACAGTATATAGAAGATTTTGTTTTTTTTTAATTAGAAAATAAATACATTTTGGGGGGTTTTTTATTCCCTTTCATTGATAGTGACAGCTGTAGAGTGACAGAAAAATTTACCAAGGCTGAGCTGCAGCGGCCAGCAAGGACTCAGCCTTGGTACGTGGGGTGCCAGCTCTACCAGGTGAGCTACCAGAGCGCCCCAAAGATGATTACCAAAGCGTGGCATGGGTAAACACGATGGGTTATAGTCTGTGTTAGGCAGTCGGTCCAAAGATTAAATGACTGTCCACTAATTTAAAGAGTAGTCACAAGCAGTTTGGTAATGAAGGAGTGTTTCTCACCTATTCTCTGCAGCTCTCGGGTTTGTTGTGTCTGTTGGCTGCGTAACTCCCGAATCTGAGATCTGATATGTTCTCGCTCACTGTGACTCTCCCGCTCTGTCTCCTGTAAAAGAAAAAAAAAAGAAAAGAATCACACATGCTCAGTCCATTTCACCATTTCAATAAAGCTCCTCAAGTATCATGCTCTTTAATGTCTCAGGTCACAGTGTCTGCAGGCTTTTTTCTTGGGGACAAACTGCCAACCTATTGCTCTGATCAAAACCATCGTAGGAGTAAAAAACATCACTCCTACGATCATCTGGTTCAGGTCAGCAGGCAATTTCAACAGTCTTTTGTTGGAGGTTGAGGTCAAACGCTCAAGCCATGATGAGCAACATGCTTGGCCAGCTGGAAAAGTAAAGATCTGTTTTATTTTCCATTGTATATGAGAGAGAGAGAGAGAGTGAGAGTGAGAGTGAGAGTGAGAGAGAGAGTGTGAGTGAGAGTGAGAGAGAAAGAGAAAGAGAAAGAGAGAGAGAGAAAGAGAGAGAGAGACCCTGAGTGTCAAAAGAGCCAACGGATACAGCCAATGTTCGGTTCAATACCGACTTCCTGACTTGATCTGATCTTGTGGAGGGGAGGACGAAGAAGGGGGGGTAAAGACGAAGATGCCGGCACTACTGTTGGGCCTCTGGTGCCTGACCTTGAGCTACTCCACGGGAGAATCAGCTGCACAAACAAAGCTCCTCCAAGCACGTGTACACACACACACACACACACACACACACACACACACACACACACACACACACACACACACACACACACACACACACACACACACACACACACACACACACACACACACACACACACACACACACACACACACACACACACACACACACACACACTTTTTAAATCACTCCCACACATATTCTTAATCCACAACACTCAGGACTTTCAAACTTTTCTATTAAAGGGCAAAAAGCTCTTGTGTGTATGGAAGTGACAGGTGTTATCCATCATTCTGTAGCTCATTTGAAATGTTGAACAAGATCACCACACATAATCTCCTTAAAGGTGTTTTACAAGAGGCATCGGGGTTAAGAATAGTCTGACAAAAGTTTGGGTGGATCCTGAAAAAATATACAGGACATGACCTTACATACTTAAAAATATAATACTTTTTGAAGTAATAGTAGGGTGTAAATCTGTTCTGAGGACACATTCACAAGCTTTCAAGCAAGCAAAGAAAGCACACACACCCAACCACACAATCACACGCCACAATCAGTTTTCCAAGTTTAAACAATGTTACCCTACACCAGAGACTGGCACAGTTGTCAGTAGCAGCTACGGTGTGAGAATATTATAATTTGCTCCTTTTGTGCTCCAAAAGGCTTTTAATCAATGCAGTTTGTGATCAGAGAAAGGACGCAAGTGCTTGCTTGAATTGAAACACAAGTGAGAGGCAGATGTGTGAAAAGAGCGGAGGCTTTCTGCTCTGTTGACTGTGACCTTCTCCACCTTGAGCAGATTACAGGGCAGAGCGGCTCAGTCACTGAGGAGAAAACGTAACAGACACTGTCGCAAAGAGACGACAGCACAAACAGGAAAGGTGAATCTGAAATGGCACTGCTCAGGTTAAACACAAGCATATTGCACAATTAAATGGATCACATAATGTAGTTACATAAGATTGAAAGAAATAAAGTAAGTGAAGGTTTGTTGGTAAGATCAATCGTTTGTGCAAGAAAAAAAACGTTCCTCAAAAGAAGCTAGAAAACTGAAACCCAATATGTGCCGCAGCAGTATAAATCCACATAGTAGGTGCTCCAATGTCACTTTTTCCATGACCTCCACTCTTTTTCCATATGGAGCAAAAAAAACCTAAGTGGCACCACAGATTCTGGGGCATAAAAAAGTTAAATGTTACCCATGTAGACTGGGATGCCACCGTGGCGAGCAGCAAATTTAGTGGAATGCTCATTTAATAAAAATAAATAACTCATTAAAGTGTCTGATGAGGACACAACAGTCCTCTGTAACAACACAAAGACCGAAGGCACTACAGTGTAATAATGCGAGAGGTCACACACAAAGGCCACTGAGTGGAGTCACTCAATCAAAGACTCACAGGGGGAGATAATTGTGTTCGAGCCATAAACACAATTAGAGAGGACAAGTCTTTCCTCACCCACCCCACCTCTCCTTCTCCCGCTTCTACCAGCAGTCAGACAGACAGCCATCATTTCACAGCTCCCACTAAACCACAGGGAACATATTTCTCACAGACAGTGAGGCAGAGGGAAAAAAGGGAAGATAAAGTGGAACTGGAGACGCAGACCAGAGCTCGGGACCTGCTGCCAGCCACCGTGCTGTCATTAGCGGCTTCCCTTTGGCCCCAACAGTCAAGACCTGACAGAGTGGAACCAAAGCTAATGCCGTCCCACTCCGACGCTCCTTTGGACTACTCATCCCATCTGGCCTCAGGAGCCCGTTTGTGTTGGGGACTATAATTGCAAAAGCTCAAACCGGTAAACACAAAAACAACTGTCCTCTCTTGTGACCACAGCAAGGCGTGGGCCATCTGGATTCCTCTGAACCCTCAACTCCACAAAAAATAACAACAATGAGGCTGAGGCAGCGCTGAGGCGCACGCACACACACACACACACACACACACACCTCCTCCTCCAGCAGACAGATGAGATCAACTACAGCTTAACACACTGGTTTTCAGTGCTCCAGTTTTCCATGAAAGTTAAATCCATCACTACACCGGTAAGGTCGAACCATTTGAGGGTCTTCCATGCATCCACGTGGAAGAGAGAAGAAACCTGGCGGCTCATTTTCCATTACTGCAGCCTGAAGAACCACACTCTCGGCTTACCTCCAATAACTGAAATACAGTAGCTGGAACGAAGTAGCAATCATCTCAATATCACACACACACCCACCCTTATTCTGAAGTGAGGGATCCCACAAAAAAAAAAAAGAATTAGCCTCATTCCCATTTTGACTTACTGCACATCATCACATGCCAATCTAAGCTTACTTTCTGGTCTTCTGTCAAAGTGGATCCACTCTTCTTTTTTTCCTCCATTTCATCCCCAAAGTCCACTAAACCCTCAGTATCGCAAACACCAGGCCCAGTTTGAGTCAGTTAAGCTTACTCTTTCTTCAGGTCTCTTCTTGCTAAATGTTTATGATGAGATCAGAGAACAAACAAAACTCTGTCTGGATCTGTAACACCCGCCCACCCAACAGCCTACCTGAGCTCTCCCAACACACCTAGACACCATGACAACTTACAAGGTTAAATCACTAAGTACATTTGAAAGGAATAGAAGAAGTAGAATCACTATCAAGTAATATTGTTGCATTAATTTCACAATTCTGCGTGTGTCAATGACCCATCTTTCATCTCATGCATCATTTAAGGTTTGATCTACATCCTTAGAGTTAAACTGTCACTTTAACTGGACAGAAATGATCCAACCTCAGCAATAAAACATTATGTACACCAACCTGAAAGGTAAACAGAGAGGCAGGTACATCCCATTCTTCAGTCAGATAGAAACAAGCGCAGATTCATGAGAAAATAAATGTTTCAGTGCAAAAAAAAAAAAGAAATTTAAGATAAAAAAAAATAAAGAAAGCCAGAGGGGAGCGTTTGGTCTGTGACACACGACAGCAGAAAAATGAGAATGACATTTACCTTCTCTTGACTGAACAGACTGCCTCTCTCTCTCCCTCTCTCTCTCTCCCCTCTGCAGTAACCCTCTTGGAGTCAGGACATCCGCTACTCTACCGCTCTACTCCCAGAGCCACATCATACTCACATTCACACACACACACACGCACACCACTACCAACACCACACACACACATATAATACCAACAAGCCACTCCCTTGACTTCCCCCCCCTCCCATTTTGTCTCCACAGAGATCACACACACACACACACACACACACACACACACACACACACACACACACACACACACACACACACACACACACACACACACACACACACACACACACACACACACACACACACACACACACACACACACACACACACACACACACACACTTTCCTTACAGGTTAAAGGGTTGCCTGGTTGACACATTAACTTCGGACACACAATGCATTTGTTTTGACCTATTTGTTTCTCCATTTCTCTAACTGCTGTATTACTTGAGACAAGAGGTGATATTTAACTGTAACAGAACCTCATTTACATTTTTCAACATTTTGCTCTTTTTTTTTTAAATCACAATATGAATAAAGATCCTTTTTCCTGCTGTTTGTTTACAAGCTGTTACTGTAAAGCTTCATCCAACTGCGCAAAAGGAAACTTTTACTGTATGTCAGCTATCCCAGCATGTTAATCATTCCTATTAAAAACATCCATTAACTTCTATTGGGTGTTTAATTAACAGCTAACAACATTAACAGCACAAATTAAACACGCATATATTCGATATATTTTCCACCTTTTTTGTTACACGAGCTCTTGAGCCAGTGTTTGTTTCAAGATGCTGGCAGTGTCCACATACGTTGCGCGTGTGTGTGTGTGTTTACGTGTGCGTTTGGCTGCTGCGGAGGCCTATCTAGGACCTCCATCTGCCATGGGACAATTGCACGCAGCTCAAAGAGATCCGCTGCTGTGATGTCAGTGGAAGGAGCCCTGCTGCTGCTGGTTGATGTTGTTTTTGGCCACGTCCCCATTCCAGCCCAGACTACACTACTGAGGCACAGCTGGTGGGCTGCCTGTCTGTCTGTCCGATCCAGACCTCCAACCACCCCCCTCCCTCATCCAGCCCACCACCGGTAGTTCACAACTCGACCACCATACCACTCAGCTGTCTTACAGGAAGTGAGGTAAAAAGGCTTGAATGTTAAGAGCATCCTGTGACGCCAACATGCTATCATCGCTTCCTATCTCAGGACAATACACACACACACACACACACACAAAGGAATGCATGCAAGCAAAGCACAGGCTGCATCAGACAATGGGACTGATACGAACAGCCTTTCATTTCTCCTCCTTTATATCACTCTGGCGGGAAAAAAGGGTGCTATCACATGAACCACCAGAACACTAATGACGTGACTGATTGTATTTTCCTTCAAAGTGTAGATACAGTAGGTGTTCCTCCACTTCCATCACTCAATAGGCTTGAGTAACAACAACAGTGACCGCATACCGTCAGAATTGACTATGTTTTACTACACAAATCTCATCCACTGGAAACAGAGCCTTCATCAGAAAACTGTGATCAAACTCAGCAGATAAGATAACATCAGCGCCATGGCAGACTCTTCCAACAGCTAAGCCCTTACAGCTTTATATTTGTTCACTGCAGCAACCATGTAATTCAATATGTTCTGCTGAAAAAGATAAAAGTTTTGTTCAACTCTGGAAAAAAAAACAATCTGCTATCATCCACTAGAGGGCACGTCAGCTGAGAGAGAGACGTCTGAGAGGAGACTGAAGTCTGGAGTTTAACAGAAGGATTCCGAAACGTGTGATGTAGCCAAAGCCATCAAAATGCAACAACACAATTAAAGTATTTGATCAAATCAGATAAAATAAAATTAAAAGCCTTCAAATTATTTGAACCTCTTGTCTCTCTCACACAGCCTCACTTTAAACTTCAAATCTCAGTGTGCAATTGTCTCAAAGTGTGAACGGCTGCAGAGAGGGATGTGTGCAAAAAAATGACAGTGACAGAGGGACGACGGCCTCTACCAAAAAAATTTTACTGCCTTCACTAAACACCAGGCTTAAAGTAAATTTTATCTTTCTCCTCATACTTGGTCAAACCTGAAAGAGGATGTAAAAAAACAAACAAAAAAAACACATTCCTTGCTCCGTGGCAGCCAAAGCTGTGCGTGCGTGTGTGCGTGTGTGCGTGCGTGCATGTGTTGCAGCCACATTCATGACACAGTGTGTGACTCAAGTCACAATGTCTGTTGTTGTTTGCTGCATTCTTCATTGTGGCAGAAGAATAACCTCAGTGGTCACTGTTGCCATGTAAACGAACTCAGCACCCGCAAATTACTCTGTGCTCGGTCCGTTGTTGCAAATAGAAGCTGACACGAGTAAGTATTAGGCTTGAGAGAGTTTACCCGTCAGTTGTAATGTGATGTTCAGAATAAATCAGGATAACGCTCTGACATTTAATCATTTTTCCTCCCATAAATGACCCCACTTGCTCTATCAACTCTGCTGTACTCACCCCAGTTCCCATGCTGCTCTGGGGCTCCACACTCTCGGGCTCCAGGTAGCGACCTGGACCTTTACCCCGCTCCACAGTCCCTAAAAATGGACACACAGCAGCAGCAGTACAATAATTAGAATCATTATCCCATCTGGTGTCAATCTTCAGGTCATTTGTGAAATTAGGAGGACAATATTGTTTGACCCTGACATGGCCCCATAGGAGGAGGCTGCTCATGTATCGTAGTGTTTTAGAGTGACAGGGGCCTCACAAAGACCAGACAGCGCTAAGGAATGACAGGAATCCACTATCTGATCCAACATCACAGGTAGATCTACCACACTATCTATAGCGACCACAGACAGACTGCTATCTCTCCTACACGAATAATGAATACACACCCAGTAAGAATATGTAATTACCCATTAATTATGGGTTCTGAAGAAATGATTAAAACTTGAATTAAATGTCAGTTAAGGAGTTATTACCTGTAATTTCAGTGCCAATAGTCAATCAGTGGCTGCCAAAATACATACTGTAATTTCATGAAGAACATCATATCATATTATTATTATTAATATAATAAAGTTAAAATTTAACATGTGGATGGCCTTGTGAAGACTAATAGCCATATCATATGTTTTCAGTCAACCAGAACATAATTGTGGCCTTCCAAATTCTGACATTTTGACCTTTAACTCTATTTTTACAGCACCCTCTTCAGGCTAATCAGTTTAAGTGCTGAATCTGCCTTCTGTCAGTGACAAAATACATCATCCTAAAATGTTGCTGTCATTGAAAAGATGCGTCTTTCTAAGTTTCAGCTGAACCAGACAAGTGGTATCACATTTAACAAACAGCTAGACTCACCTAGCTGCTGTTCATCTCGGATTTGTCGGATGGCTGCTCTGATCATCTTCCTCTCCTCATACTCGCTGGCAGCACGGAGCTTCGCACAAACACACACACGCACACACAAAATGTCAGGGCGCACAGGACAAGCATTGATTGGAACCATATTTTAAGGTTTTTGTCATTTAATTCCCACCATTTTCGTGAGCTCATCGATGTCCTGGATTGATTGCAGTTTTCGTGACAGGACGTCCAAGTTATCACTGGATTCTGACCTGAGTGAGAGAAAGAGACAGTGAAGTAGTTACGTCATTACGATTATGCTCATGCAGCAAGTAGCAAACTGGAAATTATAGTATCTTTAAAACAACAAAATACAGACTATACTCCCGAGGCCTGCGCATGGGAAAGGCAGCAGAATTCCAAGATAACACAGTTTTCTTAGCCGGGAGAAAACCCATTAGAGGAAACGCTCTCAAATCGCACGTGGAAAAACTGATACAACATATCTGACAGCAATGACACACAGTGCCTGTAAAAAGCTGCTCTCGTCCTCCCTTTTTTTTAGCCTTTTGACCGCTCGCTCTTATGTCGGTTTCTATTACTCATAATACTCATACTATTACTCACTGCTGCAGTTCTCTCATTCTCTTTTCTTTCCTCCAGTCGTTTGCAATAAAGGATGTGTGGCACGTTTGAGTGGAATACTTCACATTCCACCACTGAGAGGCACAGGATAATGCAACTTTCAGATGGGGTTTTTTTGTGTGTGTGTGTGTGTGTGTGTGTGTGTGTGTGTGTGTGTGCGTGCATATGTGTGCATCCTAACATGTGCACACGTGCATGCATTTGGTAAAGTAGGTATGCTTCCTCCTGCAGCTTCAGTGAGGCACCTCCTTTGTTATTGTAACCCAAGTCATCTGAGAGCAGCAGTGAATGGAAATGATTAGACCCAGCCACTGGTCTCATAAGTGACACAGAAATAGAACAACTGCAGAAAATTGAGCATCTTATTAATGTCCAGTGTTAAATCTTTGGTAGAGACATTACCGGTTATTAATTAACACCGGTAACAAGACAAAGTTGATCCTGGTCTGCAGAGTTTAGGATTTCATCCACAGAGGTGATTTTGTTGTCAAATACTATGGTGAAGGAGAGCAAAAGGAGCTTCATCATATTTGTCAAATTAATGTAATTTTGTTGTTTTGGTATGATGCTGATTGACTAACAGCAGTAGCTTCTCTAATCTCATGAAGCAGTAAAAACGGCTGAATGTCAGCTTTCCAGTTTAAATGTTACTGGTATGATTGGACAGATTTTAGGAATTCTTCAGCAAGCAGAACCAATCAGAAAAAGTTCAGTAGTGATAAATTCACTCAAGTTTGTCAGGAAAAGCATTGAAAATCACATATATCACAACATCTAATAATTCTATTTAATTCTAATAAAAAGGTTTCATGAATTCCTCTATGGCTCCATAAAATACAAATAATCAAAATGTTTATATTAACATCGAGCTGATCTTCTTCAATAACCTGTTTTTGCTGCTTCTTGTTTATTGTCAAAATGGCAAAGGTGACATCAGAGCCGAGTTATGTCCTCATCCACATTCCTCAGCTGAATGACAGGTGCTGGGAAATGTGTATTACTGACCTGAGCAGGCCAAACCAACCATAAATAAGACAAATAAATGAGAAAAACTCCTTCAGTCTGACTCTCTTGGCTTAAACTTTAACAGATAATCTGACATAAGGACAGACTTTTAAAAGTAAAAGTATTTACTGTGAAATGTGCACACACAATGGAAAATTGAAAATGTGCTGTGGTTGCAGTCCTCTGTGATTGTCTGATCTGACTTTTCCAGACTTTTCCCTTTTCCCACTGGAGTAAGGAAAATGCTGCATCGGGGTTTATGACTGTTTTCTCAGCATCTCCAGTTCACCTGACTGGTGCAGTTTGTTATTCGGTCTGTGCGTGTGTGTGTTTGGTCTAACCTGTGCTGGTTCTCCTTGTCCTCCTGCTGTTTGAGGCGTGTGGGTCTAAATCTCTTGCTGGCCAGAGCAGCCTCCATGTCTTCGATCTCCCTCCTCCTCAAATCCCGGATGGCTGAACGGATGAGACGCCTCTCGTCCAGATCCACGGTTCCATCCAGCTGCACGTGAAACATAAAAAGACCAAGAAAAAGAGCACATGAAGACAAATGCAAGTGTTAAAAAGTGTGCCAACACAGCAGGATGCCAAACACTTGTCTTGCAAAGATAAGCCACTTGTCCCTCCTATATTTGAATCTGTGAGCGAGTACACCACAGATGGTGAGGAAATGGCCACACAGTTATATAAGAATGCTCTGCTACAGTAAAGGGTCACAGGCTTGTTCTCGGTGTAAGTACAGGGCGGTGAATAAGCTGCGTAGAGTCGTAGCTCAACCTTCAAGTTGCCGCCTCTTGCCCTCTGTAATTAACCCTGTCAATGAAGGACAATAACACACTTGTTTATAAGAAAAGGCAGCCTTTGAAACAATGTGCCCTAACGCACAGCTGTCCAGCCAGAGTGAAATTTGAAAAAGATTTGAAGAGAATTTGTGATTTTAAGCTGCTCTAGGGTAGCATTATTGGCCTGTCCGATGGTCGTTCCACCATTTTGGTCCGGACTTAAACAACAACTTATTGCCATGAAAGTTTGTGCGACATTCACGCCCCCCAGAGGACTATCTGACTTGCCTCCAGCAAGTTGATTCATCAGGAAGTTAGCACGGTCAGTGGGAAAATGTATGCATGCTAATGTGAGCTGATTCAGGTGTGTGACATGCAAACAGTATTAGACTAAACAGCCCTGGCTTAGATTTAAATGTGAGGCACGGAGTTACAGGGTCAGCAGGGCCGACGAAAGATTGGTGATGACAAGTGATCCGACTACACTAATGTGAAAAGACAGGACCACCTGAGCAATGAGCAGAGGATGAGAAACAGGCACGCCAACAGCTGGTGCTCAGCTATAAAAAAAAGAGGTGCGTTCAGCTCTGGGTCAAACCTTCACCCAGGTGTCTTCTTCTTATTCTCTGGCTGTAATTCACCTCGGTTAAACAGTAGCAAGACTGCAGGAGGCCCCAGAGACTCAGACGTTGAAGTGGCTCACTTAAAAACACTCACTGAGCCATTTCATCGCTCTGAGTGACTATTAGTTAAAGGGTTTATTTTTTCAAGCAAAAGAGGAGTAATTAAGGTGTGTGAGTGTGTGTATAAAAGCACGCCTGCAGACAGACACACCAGTCGGCGAGATGGATGCTTTCATGTTAGCGACAGCAGTGAGCATGGGAGGGGAGAGGGAGCCCTCTCCTGTCATGTGAGAGACAGATCTCTCTTTTGGTCGACAGCGGGAACCTGTCAGCACATGCAGGGATGAGCGGCTCCTGCTCCTCTGGAAGGCTTTTCGGATACACTTCACGCACAAACACACACTTTAAGGTTTCCTGCTGCACCAGTTAAAACCTGCAGAGTCAAGACAGAAACCTTTGCATGCCAACTGGTTTCTAGTAGAGGGAGCTGGATGTGGTTGTTAAGCTAAGCCTTACACCCTGGTGGGTTGAAAAGGGAGTTGGTGCTCCCCCCCTGCTGGGTCTGGAGGAGGAACGGGGTGGGGGTCTCACAAGAGATGAAGAAGGCAAGTGGTTTTGAGGTCTCGCTGTGGTTTGATAAAATATGCAGCCCGAGCTGCACTAGCTCCGAGGGGCTCTCCTATATACTATAATTTGTGGAAATTTAAAGTGCTGAGCTGACTGAAAATAATGTGCAAGAGGAGAAAGTGCTCAGAAAAGAAGAAAGCATATAAAGAAAGAGGAGAAGGATAAGGGGAAAGCAAAGCGGTTAACAGAGAGAAAGGATGACAAAGTGAAAAAGAGAAAAAAACAAAAGAGAAGCTGGGCTTGGGTATGCCTAAAAAAGGGCAGATGAGAGCTGGGTGGGAAATGGCCTGGCCTCGCAGGGTCATTCCTCACATTCCTGCTGACTCACAAGGAAAAGAGATGGTAGTGAAGTCTGCCGATCAGAAACTGGGTTTGAGTCCAACCCAGCAGTGAGATGATATAGCAACCAGGAGCGACAGCGTCGGCTTTTTGATTGTGAAGCAAGGATGGGAGAGAGGATATGAGTTCACACTTGCTCGTTTTACTCATTGTCCAGTGTCTGTCTCACATGCCTACACAGACAAACACACACAGACTAACCAAACACTCGAGGGAGCTGTATGTTACCACACTGTCAAGCATAGTGCTGAATGAATGTCATGAAGTGATTATACAGCAAGCAGGCTGCCAAGTTTTAGGACTGACTGATTTATTTATTCATTACTGGAGATATAACAGCCTCAGGCCTGGGCCTCTTCTCAGAAACAGTAAATTCTGCTTAGCATTTCAAAACAGGCAGCATGTTTGGCCTATGTACTGTGCCTATCAGAAGCAAAATGTCCAACAGTGAGAAAAAAGGTTCATGGACAACTTCCAAACTCAGAGCACGTGATAGAGCGTAGACTATAACTGTCCAATTCAGTTATACTAATCTCTCTAAATACAAGCACAGTGAGGAGAGTTAAAGTCACAATGTGATGATGAGAGATGAAAAACAATCCCTGCATGCATGTCAGCACTTTGACTTTTACCTGCTCCAACACAAGAAGCTTTAAATGGACCAATCAGTGCACAGTCTGGCTGCACATCAAGTCAGTTTGGATTGGTTGCAACATGTATGCACTTAATTCAACCAACCAGTTGGCACAAGGCCAGCAGCTGTAACTGACTTCTCCTTTACAAATTTGAAAAGAGGAAAAAAAAAAAAAAAAAAAAGCTGACCAATAACTTCCCTGTGCAGGAAGGCAATGACGAGTGGGCGTAACTCAAGCAAATAAAACACACCTTAAAGTTGGACGCCTGCCAAAGAAAACAGTATAACCGTTAAAAGTACCAGAGACGGAAACACACGCTCGTGTAAAAACAGAGTCCATTTGACAAAATCCTCCACATGACAGAGGACTTTACAGTGAGTGCACTGTGTCAGTGGGGGGGGGAATCTATCCAGTTACAGAGACAGCACCTTACACCACTGACCACCCCCAAGGGCATTTTTCAAACCAAGCCACAGACCTCTGGGTAACCAACTGTCAACTGAGGCACAAAACAACAACAGCACTGTGACCCAGAGAGCCGCCGTTATACTCAGACAGAAAGCTTTTCACACAGTATCGCCACTACTGCTATCAGACATATGAGTCAGAAATAACACAGAGCGCACATATGGTTTACTGAAAACGATGCCGTCAACGAGACGTCACTGCACTGAGCTGTCAGCACCTGTAATGACGGCGGGGGGGATAGTCATGGTACGCTGTGGTCTGCTGTAATAACTGAAGACTCGTCACCGGCTCTCAGGAAGCTACCGTCACACCTGCAAGCCTCGGCAGAGTCACCTGACTCAGCCGGGGAGAGACAATGTAAGGCGAAGGATGGAGGAGTTGTTGACTGATGCAACTGCTTCAAGGCAAAGCTTGCAGATCCCAACTCTTTTTATTCAAATGCACTTACCTACTGATACAATCTAGAAAATGATTACCTTATGTGGCAACAATCACACTGGGGTGAGGAAATACAAAAAAATGTTTTAATGTTTCACAACAAGCAGGCCTGCTAAGGCTTGCACTGCACTGTTGGTCGCTTTGAGTCATTTCCTGCCGAGTAGCAGCTTTCTATGGAGTCAAAACCTCAAACCTATCCAAAGACGTTCGACTGAACCAGCTCAATCAATCACAGCCAATTAGAAAGCATTCATGGTTTAGCGGTAATCCCGACCAGCTGGTGACACACTCCTGAGGACGGAAACACCCTCTGAACTCATCTGGTAAACACGAGCAGAACGGATTTAAAAATGATTTTTAAGTTTGCGAGGTTTAATTTATTGCGGCACACATGGAAACAGCCTCAGAAGTGGCATAATATGGCAATAAGTCAAGGTTCCTCAGGTAGTTAAAATATACTGAGCTACTATTTAGTGGGTCTGCTGTCCATAGATGAGCTAAATGCACATGCTGCAACGACTACCTGTGGGCGCAGCACTGAAACAGGATTAAGTTAAACCTGTGGAAGTGAAAAGAGAGACCACTCCACTAAATGACTGAAAATAGAAAGCAAATATTGTACAAGTTCAGATTTGTCTTAATTTCCTCCCCCTACTCTACTGCCTTCATTAGAGCATCTATTCACAGCAACTCAAACATGGATTACTGGATATCTGAGCTGTCTTTCAGCTTAAACAGTCTGCAATCTAGTCCTTTAAATCATAACCTTGCCTGTGTTGCAATGACAGACTTAAAATGTGAATATTCCTCAAAGAAATCAGAAAACATTTTAGTATAGATGCCAGGAGTATTGAAGCCCTACATACTATATGTGTGTCTCTCCAGTTGTGCTGTGGTCTACAAAAGGTCAAAACCCAGCCCCGTCTGGGAGCACAACAACCCCTCAGGCCAAGTCCCGACCTTTTGACTCCCAGTGGGCGCTCATGTGCTCGGCTGTATTTGTACTTAACACTTAAAACTTTGTGAACTGCAACGTGTCGAGCAAATTCTCAGACACTGAGGAGTATGTATACTTTCAGCAAGAAATGTGTGTGCGTGCATGTGAGTCCACGTGCATGGGTGTGAGTGAGAGGTAGGGGGTACTGTGTGTTTGCGCATGAAATGAGGGCTACAGTAATAATTTCCAGAGCAGGCTGAGGTTAGAGTGCAGCCAGGCAGCAGATCGGATCAGTGCTTTAAACTCACTTGTGTCAAAGCCCACAAGTGAGTTTTCCCTTATAAGGACACACGGGACACTCCTGGTAGACGAGCTGAAGTGGATTACAAGCCGCTACCAAGAAAGCCGGACTGCCACAGACGCTGAGACAGACACAAATAAACAATCGAGAAAAGCTGAGAAAGTTCAAACAATGTATTTTTTTCCACCCTTGAATCTGTTTATTGCCTTGCTTTGGGGCAAAATTCCAATCTGAATCAGGTGGAAGCCTATAAATCATTTCTCAACGCCTCAGGAAAACAATGCTTGAATACAGTAGGCCGGTGCACATACACCACACCCACTGAAAAATGGGAATATAATCAGGATACATA